AACTAGTTACCCCAAATTCCTTATTTTTACTTAGTGCTTAAATACCCAGATCTGTCTAGACAAAACTATACAAGAAAAACATATCCTAACTATCTTCATGGAGTAAGCTGATTTTCACGCCATCCTGCAATCTTTACCATCTGAATATATACAAGAAAAAGCAGAAGATATTTGTCTTGAAATAGAGCATAGTATAGATCAGTGGTGGCAAACCTATGGCAAACGTGCCAGAGGTGGCACTCGGAGCCCTCTCTGTGGGCACATGCACTGTCGCCACAGCCCCACCTCCCCCATGGCCCCCTCCTCACCAGCAGCCCCCCTGGAGGAGAGTCGCCCTGAGATGCGGCCTGCACGGAGCAGTGCAGCCAAGGACATAGCAGCTGGGTAGCAGGGATAAGACTCCGCCCTCGCGCCCCGTCGCAAACAGATGATGCTGCATGGCAGAGGGTGGAGCCACCATGGTGCTGCTGGGCCACCTGGGCAATCTGCAGTGGGCCGTGGAGGCGGTGGGTGGCCCGCCGGGTGGGTGGGGCAGGGGACGGAGCGGGAGCAGAGGCAGGGGTGGGAGGGGGACAGGGAGGTTTTTGGGCATTTGGTCTCTAAAAGGTTCACCATCACTGGTATAGATCTAGGTACTCTACCTGTTTCCACACATGCACATTGTTCATTTAAAGAAAATGTTCCCCCTTACTTCATGTAATATGTCAAGGGCTTTTGTTTTATATTTATTTAACAACATTTTTTACATCATTAAAAAGACTCTGGGTGGTGCACAAGATTAAAAACCTGATGAATAAGACGGATAATAAATTATCAACAATATTACACTCAATTGCATTACCTTTTTTCTCTACAACTGTTTTCAGGATATTTTTTTAGCCTTTGAACTTCTACCAAAACAGTAGCAACCAATTGTTTTCCTACAAACCAAATTTATAAAAATGGTGAAACATCATGTCACCTCAGAGTAATTTATGTGACCAATTGTTATAGTTATAATTCCCACCATTTTGCAAGTTATTGGATTGGATAAAAGCTGCTTAAAATATTATAGAATACTGTATAGAATATTATACCCAACATACTGCAAGAAACAATATGTAACCGTTTGAAGTTACAACGGTACTGAAAAAAAGTTGCTTATGGCCAGTTTTCACACTAATGACTATTGCAGCATCCCCATGATCACATGATCACATTTTGCAACCTTCTGACAAGCAAAGTCAACAGGGGAAATCAGATTCACTTAACAACCATGTTACTAACTTAACAACTGCAGGGATTCACTTAACTGTGGCACGAAAGGTCATAAAATGGGACAAAATTCACTTAATAACTGTCTCACTTAGCAAAAGAAATTTTAGGCTTAATTATAGTCATAAGCTGAGGACTATCAGTATGGGATAATGTGTCTGCTATCATCAGTCTTGTTATTTATTTAGTCTTGCAAAATAAATTTCCCAAAATGTGTGTGGGCATTTAAACTGTTTCAGGAAATGATTTCTATATATAAAATGAACAATTTTTGCATACTCTGTTGCATTAAATATACAGTTTAAGTTTAGAAGCATCTTAGAATCAAATTACAGTTTCACTTAGCATGTGTAGCCTGACACAATTTGGATTACGTGGCTCAGCTACAAGAACCAGCAAACAGCCTAAAATAGGCAGAAAGATGAATGAAGGGCCTCCCAAAATAGGCATTAATCAAATTCTACCAGGACAATTTAAAACTAGATTTGAGAACATACACAATTCTGAAATTTAGCTCCATGTGTTATCACCTGATATTTTCACATATATAAGCAAATAGCATTTATTTTAAATCACATATCTTGCAGACAAATTGATTGTACAAGAGCTTTTAACATTTCCTATGTGGGTAAATGGTATTAGGTACATTAAATCCCAAAAGTCTGCAAACTAAAATACCTAAGAAATATACATCTAAGATCAGTATACCTAAAGCAATTTATATGTATATTATTCACCACTTACAGGCTGCAGAGGACATGGAATATATCTGTAGAGTTTATTAAAGGTATGATAATAGATACATCAAATGCAAAATTGTATGTAAATTGTCACCACTTTGTTCAGTAGGCTTGGACTCAGAAAGCAGACATGAAGATATCAATCAAGTTAAACTTTTTATGGCTACAAAGATGCCCTAAGAGAATGAACTGGCCCAGGAGGGAGAATCTCAAATTATAAAGCAAAGGACATATAGATCCATAAAACAAAAGCCAAAATAGAACATAAAGCCTGAGTTGGATCAATCAAATGATTATCTAGCTAAGCATTCTGTTCTCATGTGGCCAACCAGATGCCAAGAGCCCATAGGCAGAAAATAAGCTCAGTGGCACTTCTGTTTATGTTCCCTAGCAATTGCTTCCTTTAACATGTGGGATCAAGCCAAAGGTTATAGAGACGTTTGCTGGTGATGCTTTAGGGCAGTGCTTCTGGCTAGGGAATTCTGGGAGTTGAAGTCCATACATCTTAAAATTGTCGAGAAACAGTTTTAGGAGATTCTTGCACTGAGTAGCTGTAGTTATTAATGGTTCTAATCTATTTTTTTTATATAGCTATCCTGCCTAGGAGCCTCTAATAGTTTTAAATATATATGTTTTTAAGACAAGTATATCCAAACTGATATCATTACTTTTGGGGGTAATGGATCTGTTACTACACAGCCAAATGATCTCCTCTTATGTGTCTTGAATCTTCCTGCAATACTTCACAGGGTGACTGATTTCCACTTAATGAGAAAGGCGGTTTTATACCATGCATAGTTGTTATACATTGTAATTACGTCAGATTCCCAAAATGACTAGGAACACAGGGAGATCTGACCATATTTACATTTATTAAGGTGATTTTTAATTATAGTTTGTGGTTAAAAATACACTGAATTGGGCTCAAAAAGAAAACTATGTTTTAAAAAAGGCCTATTCAGAAAACTACAATTACTATATAGTAGCTAGTTTTTATATATGTTAAATCATAATGGGTGGTTTCACCTATCATGCCAGGTCAACAAGATAAAACAAGTAAATCATGTGGCCTCTTAGGTGTTTAATATTAAGACCTGTTTTGACATTAACAGTAATGTCTAATATGTCTAAGGTCCTCTGGCTGAGCATACATTTTTGTAGCACCAGCTCTGTGATCCTTTTAACCAAAACACATGATCTAACACTCACTGCAATCTAGGGAACAAGTGACACCTTGTGAAGGATAAAAACACTCAATGCTTCTTTGTAAAAATATTTTTTATGAGTACTGGTTGGCAACCTCCAAAGGGCAGAGCACAAAATTTGCAGATAATGGAATATAATCCAAGACACTTTGATAGCCCAAGATGGCACTGACTGAGTTCACAGATCACACTATACCAGTGTAATGGTCATTGTAAAGTCACTAAGGTTGAGAAACTCTGCGCTATACCATGCAGTACATTGTTTAACTACAGTTAATAATAATTGACTAGGTTCACATACTGTGCTAAGGTATGAATCATAGCTTTCAAATCACAGTAGCTGGGTTCAGGTAAGTTAGGCCAAACACAAGCAAACCACGACAAGAACACAATTCAGGGTTTGTTACCCTATTCTCAGAAATTCAAGAACTGCTTTTAGTGAAGCCAGTGAACGCAACCCCACCATCTATCCAGCTTTATATCAGAAAACCACGCAGACATCTCCCTTTTCTTCTTTACACGCCGCCACCCTCTCTCTTTTGCGAAATAATTAGTCCTTTCCACGCAATTCTGAAGCGCTCACACACACCCCTCCACGCGGAAGGAAGAGCAGGGCAAGAGGAGCGGAGGCAGCGACTCGCCGATCGCTTCCAGCGTCCCAGGCAGTTCGGAACTCGCTCTGCTTGTACAGCCTCTTTTTATCGGGTTCTTTAAAAAAGAAGCCATTAGCGCAACTCTAGAGGCAAATTCGCCTCAGTGTATAAACGCGTCCTTTGCAATCCTATGTAAAACGGCACCGTGTAATGAAAATAATCGTTTTGCACTCTGGGAGCAACATCCAGAGGCAGAAAAACTGCACCGAGTAATGTGGGAGTTGCAAAAAAGGAACTGTGGGAAGCTACCTTGGGCGCTTTGATACAATCAAACGGTTAAAGAACATGAAGTGGAATTAGGGAACTTTTAAATCAAACTGAGATGCAGGTGTCTTCCTGCGCTTCTCGCGTTCAGTTCCTTTCCCTGCCTTTCTTCGCGGTTGCTTTGCAAGCCAACATTAATCTTTGTAGCGCACACGAGAACACGCGCCCACAAACCTTTTCACCAGTCTGCCTAGAGATGCTCAACGAAGCTTCCTAACAGCGCCAAGAAATCGCTATTTTAACTGATGAGGAACCCTCTAGTGAGTTTAAAGCTAATGTGTAACAAGCTCGCAGATTAGCAGAGAAAATCCTTGCGTTAAGACTAATTGCAAGGTTTCAAAACATATTTTCCGAATTATGCAAGTAAAGATTAAACAAGAAAAAAAAATACACAAGAGCTACAGGAATTCCCTACTAACTAGTCCCAAACTGTTGCAGTGATATTATTGTAAACGTCTCTGCTTCCGAAGCGGATTAATTTTTAGAAACATTACAGACCTGCCGGGTTATAAAACTCGACGACAGATCGACAAGCATTTTGCAATGGGCTAGCCGTTTGACACCTTTGGAATTGCACCAGAGTTCAGCGATCCGTTTTTTTTCTACGCGATGATTGTGTCGCTGTTCTGTTAAAACATTGCAGCGGTTACATTTCTAAGCCCTCCCGGCTCCCAAACTGAACACCAAATCGTATCAACCGTGTCCTAGCCGCCTACGGTCTCAGCTCGCTAGCAGTGTTTGTCAGTTTTATCGTCACCGGCAAGTTTGTCCTTTGGGAGCGGACCGGGGGCGGGGGGTCTCGGTTCACGCTCCCTGCAGCGGAGACTTGGGCGCGGGTGCGCCGACCAACTCGGCTCTTCTTCGGACGCAAAGCGGGCACTTACTTCTCATCCACATGCAGGCTGGGCGAACACTTGATGGCGAGGCATGTTTTCCAGTGGACGTGGCGGGCTTTGTAAACCTGCCCGAAGCCCCCGGAGCCGATCTTCTGCCAGCTCACGAACTCGCTGGAGTCGAAGGTTTTCAGCAGCCCCATGGCCCACGAGGAGCGACCCTCCGTTTCCATGGGGCCCTCGGAGCGCTCCCCAGCGTGGCAGCGTGGCTCTCTCCTCAGGCACCGAACCCACTGCCCGCCTCGCTTCTCGCCACTGTCTCTTTTCCCCAGGTGACTCAAGGTGTACTCACGCACCCAGTTCTGACATCACTTCCGGGGTTCGCTGCTCGCCGCTTCGTCGGCAGCGTGAGCTGAGGAGTCCCGGGAGCTAAACTGGCTGTTGTAACAAGACAGCTGTTGCACAATCGCCTGCTGGAATAAAAGACGGTTTTTCCACTGAAGCGCGGGGGATTACTTTATGCATGCTTTAGAGAAAATGGCTTTTTTATCTTCTTTTTATCAAAAGAAAAAAAGAAAGCGGGGGGTGGGGCTGAGTGAACGGACAAACTTTTTCAATTAAATATTCGTTTCCAGTGTAAAAACGACCAATTTTTTAAAAAAATTGCAGCGTTATTCAAAGAGATCTGAAATGGTATTGCGTCTCCTGCTTGAATAGGGGCTTGGACTAGAAGACCCCCAACTTGAATAGAGACTTGGACTAAAAGACCCCCAACTTGAATAGGGGATTGAACTGGAAGACCCTCAACTGTTATTCTCTTGTCTGTGTGTTTTGACTAGCATTAATTACACGGATAACAATAATATTATAATAGTATTAATGGGCCCATAGTAGTGGGTCTGGTGGCTAGGATGCTGAGTCAAAAGTCCAATGAGAGATTGACAGTTTGGCAGTTCAAAACCGGACAGCGAGTCCCATCAATTTGCCCTAGCTTCTGCCCACCTAGCAGGTCAAAAGCATGCAAATGCAAGTAGATAAATAGGTACCACTTCAGAGGGAAAATAACAGGGACATCAAAAGAGCTGCTTGGGGAATGGTGATGTCACAAGCTAATACTTTCTTAACTCGCCACCCCACTGTACCCATGTTTTTCCCCACTTGGTCATTTCCGTCCCTCCTCTCAGTATGTGCCCCTGCTGATCTCTCAGAGTGACAAATCCCAACAACCCCCCTTTTTATCCTCTTTGAAGTTCTTTTTCCTCCCTTCCTTCTCTTTAGCTGATTCTGCCCCTAGTGATATCCACACATACTGTCACAAAGAAAACCAACTAAATGTAGGTTTTTACTCAATGATATCCCGACTGATACATTTTGATCTGTATCAGAATAAAAAGGCCCATTTCGTTTCATTTCCAAATTAAAAGATTGGAAGCATGCAGATTGGGAACAGACCATTCAAACTCATTTAGGCATGGGACTTTTAATGCCCAGAACATTATGCATACCCTTATGTCTAGCTTATATTCATGCATTGGATTTCTCTTTTATCAGTGAAGAATTTGCATTTATTTCTATTAAATTTTATCCAGTTTTGTTCCATTTCTCCATCAAGATCATCCTGAAATTTATTTCTGTCTTCTGTTTTATTTAACAATAATTCATGGCAGAATGAATTTGCTGAATTCATACAGCACACTAATCTTTAAACCATGATTTATAAAACCATAATGACTCAATTCACATCACATAAGGAATTTAACTAATAAATATTCACTGGAGAAAAATTAACTTTCTAGATATGTTTTAAAAAATTGCACTATTTAAAATATTTCAAAAAGAAGTATTCAATGAAGAGAAATGGAAAATAATTAAATCATTTATACAAATAACATTTGGCTTATCTCTCTATATTTATCGTCAGAAGCCACTCGTACTACCTTTATATTATACACTGATTCATGTATTGCTTTTCTTCTTTAAACTTATTTCAGTCTTCTGGTTGAGGTCTAATGGTGGACTAGACATCCCCAAAGAGCAGGGGCAGCATTGTGGTAGTCAGACAGTGAATTCTGGTTGGGGGACTGTCTCTAAACAAGGAGAGACTGAGGGATTGCCCACCTGTACTCCAGCCAGCTGCTCCTCATAAGGAGAATGTAGGAATTGTGTTTTTTGTTATAAGCTTGTGAGCTGAGAGTCAAAGGATTTCAATCATGCTCATTACTGCAAAGCAGCTTGTAATGGATATAAGATTTGAAAAACTCTCACTTTGTTAATCACTATTTGAAATAATCAATTTAAAGTTTAAGAGATCTTCCAATCAGCACGATAAGGGAAAAATAACTTGGTGAGTCAACCTTGGGGGTGGGGGGGGAGTGAAAGGAAACTATTTTAAAGAATTTTAAACTACTAGCAAATGGCTTAACAAGGATTTGATGTAAGAAAGTATAAATGGATAACGGGAGAGAAATTTTCAAAAATTATTTTTTGGTGAAAATATTATCATTAAAAAGGTAAATAGACCTGATTTTTGTGGGAGTGCTATTTAATATTAAAAGATTGCAGACAATTGAGGAATTTTATAAAGCAAGAAGATAAAAGAAATAGGAAAGAGACCATGTGAGTTTAACTACGGAGTGTCAAATGAGACTAAAATATTGACACAGAAAGGCCAAATTGGGGGGGGGGGGAGACAGAAGAGAGGGATTCTGTCTTTTACTTTTTCCCTTGCAGTTGAGGCATTGTTCGCTTTTGGATAATAATATTAGAATGGCAAAGGCAGGAGGAGAGGATCATTAGAGCAACCTACAGAAAAGGAAATTATTCCAGAAATTGTTTGAAAAATTGGACAAGAAGGTATCTGAATCAATTAATGCTAATTCAGCAATTTTTGAAGAGAGAATGGAATAAAGAATTGGAAAGAGGAAACAGGAAATGAAAGAAATTAAGAATCTGTAGGACAATTGACTAGAGATATTAAATTAATGATAAAGTGGACATTTTGGAAAACAAAAAAGTTATGAGCAGACAGATGAAAAAAAGATTTGGCATTTGGTACTGTTAGAATTGAGAAAGCAGCAGAAGTGACTTACATCTTTATTTTTATTCATGTCATTTCCACTTCATTAAGTTGAAGATGATATTCGTTGATAATGTTTCTGTCATATAACTACAATTACATCTGTATTTGATAGTTTGATATTGAGAAATCTGAGTTTCTGATCATTCAAGTAAATTTCCATCTTCTAGAATGCATCTTTGTTTATTACAGAACCACCAAGATACTACTTTGGTTAGGTAATTATCCACTGGTATAGCTGCTATGCCAGCATTTGCCAGAGTATTAGTGAAAAGCAGAAGAATAATACTTGATTAGGATGAGATCAATACAGTGGAGTAACATGCTTATTTATATCCTATATTGCCATAAATGCATCTCTCTTCCTGCAATTTCAACCAGTCCCAAAGATGGCACTTCCCTTTTTTTTAGGTCAGAAAAAAGGGAAAATGTTTGAATGATAAAGATATTATTTCTATTACCACAGAAGGAAGTGCAAAATACCTAAGACCACAGGACATCAATGCAAAAAAGTATACAAGAAAGGAACTATCCTGAAGATTATGGCTGAGCAATGTAGAGCCTTGCCTGATGTTTGACTACAAAACCCTAATTCAAAAATATCTTGATGAAAGGTCACAGGATTAGAAGATGGGATGTGAGGAGTATTGAGAATGTTTCTGGTTGCTTTATCCCATATCGCATATCCCTGCTCAATGCCTGTAACTTGGAGTTAGTCTAAGAGGCGTGGAGTAATGCAGAGTGATTGATGAGTAAATTATATGGCCCTTACTTTATCAAAATATTAAACTGCTAAACTGTCCACAGATTATTTCTTTCCATCTATTTTTAAAGAGACCAAAGATATGTTTTCAATGAACCTTGCAATGTCAGGCAATAGAGGAAATACCTGAATTTATTCTTAATTTTGTTTTTTAATTAACTGGTATATGACTTCTTTGTAAGAAACAAAATTTCATAATAAACCAATGGTGTTTGCAAATGGTATCAAACAACAGTATAAGAAAGTGTAGACAGAAATTTTAGAATATTTGCTTTGTTTGGGCTCATACTCATATACAATATCTTATTGTCTGTAGAAACATGTATACCATACATTTATAATCTGTCAAAGCTAAATTCATTGTGTTATTAATGCCAAGCTGTGTGTTCTTTTGTGTTAACTACAGGTATGCCTGATCCAGGAAGTAAGAAAGCTTAGTTCTCTAACTCAAACTGTCTTAAGGTGAATTGCTATGTGTTTCAACATGTTTATGATGATTACAAGCCCTCTTAAAACTGTAGAACAGGAAAGAGGAGACAAATGGCTTTTGTACTTAAAACAAAAGCAAAGGAAGACCAGCTGTTCCCTGAAGGCTACTGGTTCGTATGGGGCTTTGATAATTACAAGATGCTAAGAATATGAAGATAGAAAATTGAGGAGGGAGGGGGCTCTTCAAACCCAGCCACATTGCTGAATGCTAGCTTTCAGAATACAAGCTGTAGGAAAGGATTATTTGGGATCAGGTTTAGAGATGGAAAAATACAGTACCCATAAAATCAGGTCAGAATTTGCTTGTTGTTGAAGACCAAACTAGATTTAATGCTCAACTCAGGCTAGAAGCATTGTTGGTTTATTTTTTTAAAAAGAAACACTAGGCCCCCTAGGTCAGTACCAACAAGAGCAGGGACCCACAACTTTTTCCAAGTGAAGGGCCACACTTGATCTTGGAAAATTCTATAGGTGTGAATCCAAAAGAGCAGTGAGTGAGGCCCAGAATTAAATCTAAATTTGATTTTATTTCATTTACCTTTAAAAATGGAAGTCTATAGCTTATATTATTACTTCATTGTTAAGTATTGAACTTCCGCATTCTCACATATGAAAAAAATTATACCATGCTAATAGCCATGTCTAAGATTTTTAGCAATTGAATGTAGTCCTAAATTGGTAACCTCTAAACTAGAGCTAAGATTGAAAATAGTTTTCATCACATTTGTGAGTAAAGGTAGAAAAACAAAATATCCAGAACCGAGCTTGACTACTGATGACTTTAAAGATACACGGCACTTATGCAGTTTTCCTTGTAACAATACTGAATTGGTTTGGCATTACTTTCTTCTGCTCCTTATCTCTCTCCCCTCTCATTTTGGAGCGATCTCTCAATCTGCATTTCAAACGCCCTGCAGGGCTATCATCCTCCCCTAAGGCCACCGTTGTTTCGCCCATAACTCCCTCTCCCCAATCTTGTGAAGAGCAACTGTTTGGATGTTCCTGCTCCCTATT